CTGATTTTTTTTTTTTTTCTTTCTTTTCCTTAAGCTCCCCTTCCCTCGGGCCTCTTCCACCTTTTATACAGTCTCCGGGGGCCCCCCTTTCCCTTACTCCTTGCTTCTCTTTAGGGGTCCACTCAGAGCTTCATGTCGGTACAAAATAAAGTACAGTCATGGTCACTCACCCTCCTTGTGTATTTTCTTCTTTGTGAGTGCTCTCTCGTTCGATTCCCCTAAGATTCCGTTTGTGGGAGGGGGGGGGGGGCAACTCCCCAGACTCTCCTCGATCTCCTTGTCCTGGTTTCAAAAGTTCTTCTCCCGTTTGTTTTTAGCTAGGGGGGTTTCAGGGTGCCAGGGGGAGATTGAATCGGCCACCGGCAAACAGGTCGGCGCAGCTCTCTCACTGCAAAACGCCGGCCGGCCGGCTTTCCGAACTCCCAGTGGTGCTTTGCGGCCGGGCCGGTCACGTGATCCCCCTTCGTCTCCCGGCATTCAGGGACTCTCTCTCTGCCGGTCTCCAGCCGCTCCTCTCTCTCTCCACGCCAGCATCCACCTCTTCTCAACAGGGGACCGTCGGGCCAGGGTAAGTCCTCTGCCACGGGACTCAAAGCATGCCTGAGGGGATAGACCTGGAGGCTTGGGGAGGCCAGACAACGGAGCTCCGTCCACGAGCTCCTACATTGAGCTCTCCCCCCGCCGCCATGTTCAGGCCCCGCCCCTGTGACGGCTGAGAATTTACATGTATTGGGATTTTTTTAAGCAAACACATAGAGCAGAATACATTTTGGCCTAAATTTATGACAAAATTTGATTTTTTTTACATTTTTTTAATAGCAAAAAGTCAAACATATTGTTTCTTTCTTAAAAATTGACGGCATTTTTTTGTTTGCAGCACAAAATATAAAAAATGCACAGGCGATCAAATACCACCAAAGAAAGCTCAATTTGTGAAAAAAAAGGATGCAAATTTAATTTATGTACAGCATTGTTTGGCCGCGCAATTGTCAGTTAAAGTAACGCAGCGCCGTATCGCAAAAAATGGCCTGGTCAGGAAAGGGGGGAAATCCTCTGGTGGGCAAGTGGTTAAATAAATTCGATGAAAAAAATTATTCAATGCACAACTGTAATTCGAATATTCAAGAGCATAAAGGACACTCAACAAGCTTGGACTCTTAAATGTGTTTCCGGTAGCCATTGCAAAATATATAAGATTCTTTTCTACACCAGGTGCCAGTGTAAGACGTTCATTGAACACATATATTTGTGCAAACCGTAAATCATTAAAAGTCTGTTTCTTTTTGTAGCCTTTTTAATTATTGTTCTTGCAACTTTTACTTTGATACAGAGCAGTAGAGTATTTTATTCTGTTTTAGTTAAAGTAGATGTAAACCCTCACCTTGTAAAAACAACCCATTTAGTTTAAAATAGAAATGAAAGGCAAAACATTTGTGCATAGAAATAAAACACATTATAAATACCCTTTTTCCTTGATTTATAAGCCATCACATACCCTCTAAGCTCCTTATGCAGCTGCATACTGAGAGCTGGGGGAAGAAAAAAAGCAGCTGTATACTGATCTTCCCAGTGAAAAGCTAGGGGGGAGAGGCATGTCAGCAGACGTCTGATCATTGGAGAACAGGTTGAGTTCCAAGCACAGCTAGAGAACTGACCACGCTGTGCTCTCATGCCTAGTGTGGTCAGTTTTTAATAGGAAAGCAGAGGGACTGGCAGGAACACAAAGGATTTTACACAAAGGGGGAAATACAAAAAGAACAGGAGACTATTTAACACAAGTACATGGTACAGGAACATATCAGAAATATGACATGGTAGGTTTATTCTTTAACTCAATTGCCCATATGAGGGTCATAAATATGTAATCTAAATTAATTAATATAGTTCAGTGTAACTACAATAAATCTAGTTTTCATCTACTAAAATAACAAGCATGCCAAAACATAAAGTGGTAGAATTGCATTTTTCTGTTATATTATGAACCCTTTTATTTCAACAGCTACCTACTTATGCATCGTTTGTAGGTTACCTTAAATACCCCAAAAGTGTGTATACTTACCAAGCAGACTCCCTTAGTATACACCACGGGTGTCAAACTAGCGGCCCTCCAGCTGTTGCCAAACTACAAGTCCCATAAGGCATTGCAAGACTGACCGTTACAAGCATGACTCCCAAAGGCCGAGGCATTACAGTATGCATCATTTTGTGTGCATAGGAACAATACAGAGCACTATCTAGTGGGCACAGACTGGTATTACAGCCACTGTCAATCCCTATGCTATATGTAATATGACATCAGAAGATGTGAGAAGCAACAAAAAGCTGTGGCCCACCAGCAGGATGTGAGCTTGTGGGTAGTTGCAGATTGGCTGCAAATAACACGATTTGTATTGCAGAAACAGGCCAAATATACAAACAGCCCAGCGGGACTGCACCACACTGGGAAAACAATCACACTGCTGTATTAAATAGTGAATACTCCTGCGCTACCTTAAACTGGTGATTGTGCTATTCAAATTAATGTACACTGCTCAAAAAAATTAAAGGAACACTTTTTAACCTCTTCACACCGGCCGAACGCAAATGTGCGGCCTCCTGGCGTCTGGGCCTAGACGCAGAGCGGCCGCACATTTGCGTTCTATTAAGAAAAAACATATGTGCTGAGAGCGCGCGCTCTGCGTGCTCCCAGCACACATGTCCGGTACTCACGGAAAGGTCCAGGTCTCCTCTTTCGATCGGGACCTTTCCCGATCATGTGACTGCCATGACGACGTGTCACGGCGGTCACGTGACCCTAAAGCCCCGCCGTCTCGCCTCCCGGCTTCTGAAACGCTTAAAGGGCCGGGAGGTGCCGGCGTAAAGGGGTTAATCAGAGTATAGCATCACGTCAATGAAACTCCTGGGATATTGATCTGGTCAGTGAAATTGCAGAGGGGGTTGTTAATCAGTTTCAGCTGCTTTGGTGTTGGAACAAAGGGATGGTGCTCAGAGGTGGGTGTGCGGTGGAACCAACATACAAGAGATACCTGTGCTCCAATCCCAACAGCTAGTGTATGCATTTATCCATCAGGTGCTAAAAGGGTGTAACCACATATTAACACTAGAAATTCTGAAGGACCCTCTGCACACTGGTATATACCCTTTCAAGCAGACTATGCAATAAATAGGGATATTTAGCTCACACATACTGCAATACATGCTTAAGCTGGCCAACTGCATCAACGTTGGCCATAAAGAGATTACTTTGATGCAGTTGGCCAGCTTAAGCATGTATTGCAGTATGTGTGAACTAAATATCCCTATTTATTGCATAGTCCTCTTGAAAGGGTATATACCAGTGTGCAGAGGGTCCTTCAGAATTTCTGGTGGTGGAATCAAGGGACGATGCTCAGAGGTGGGTTGGGCTAGAATCAAGGGACGGTGCTCAAAGGTGGGTAGGGGGTGGAACCAAGGTAAAGTTCTCAGGTGTGGGTATGGGGTGGAACCAAGGTAAGGTGCTCAGATGTGGGTATGGGGTGGAACCAAGGTAAGGTGCTCAGATGTGGGTATGGGGTGAAGGCAAAGAGTGACTCAGAAGGGGAGAGTTCCTATACCTATTCTCAGAGAAAAAAAGCCCTGGGAGAGCTAAATAAAGATCTCACACAGGTGATCCTGCATATCTTGATTAGCACTACTCAGGAGGGAACCAACAAGGTCAAGGAACCTTTTCAGGCAGTACACAGACTCCAACTCGAGTTGGATCCAGTCCAACTAAAATAAACAAGTTCCATTTCTGCAGAATGTAAGCACACATATGGCATCATTCTAAGCAAGACATACAGTACCTCCCTTCATCCACCGGAACTTTCACCATCTTACAACCTTTACAACTCAAGCCAAAGTGTAAAGCTAAATTTACTTCTGGTTGTTAAATAATACAATTTTTATAGAGTATTATATATCAGACCAAAAAAAAGATGGACAACTGAGAAGAGAGAATGATGTACTCTAAATGAAGGATAGTCAGGGGCTTTGTCTTCTGTGCCTTACAGCAGAACTCCAGGCAAATATTCTTTACATAGTTTTATTGTTGCTTTCCTACCTTCCTAGAATACATAGTCCATCTTCTGGTTGGCTCTATAGTTTTTGAGAAACAGAATGTGCATTTTTTAAACCATGGGGTTAATCCCCGTGTCTTCCTATTTGTAAGACCGGTGGTTGCTTTGCCTTGCTCTTAGCCACTGCTCTTGACTCTTTGCACATCCCTTCTGTAGTTCTCATGTCAGGAAGCAGTGATGAAATTACTGCTGGTGCCCCTCCTCCCATCCAAAAAACAACAGCTGTCAGCAAGCCTAGGGCTGAAAGCATTGAATTCCATACATGAATGACAACACAGGCAGGCTGGGGTAAAGGATTTCACTGGGGATTTAGAAGGCACTGTGACAGCCCAGCAAGGAAGACAGACATCAGGCATCACTGTTAACTGTGAGAGGAGAGTTCATAGGGCGCATCAGTCATGGAGACAATCAAATGGAAGATAACATCTGGTATGTAAGATGATTGGAAACATGCAATGGGCAGCACTTCTAGGAGTATGAAGCAGAGGTAAGGAGAGAATAAAACTAGAAAGCGCTTCTAAGTGTAGTAAATCCAGAACTTTTGAGTAACTTCCCTAGCGGTCTGATTATGTCAGTATTTCTGTGCTCAAAGTGGTACATTGTTTTCAATGGAAATATGTTGGTTTTTTTTATTGTAGGCCTGTAATTCTTAGGAATAACTCATTGAAATCTGTCTGAACAAGAGTCTAGTAAACATCCCGGGTATGATAAAATTTGAAAAACAAAATCATAAATTATAATATAATAAATAATCATAAAAAATAATAATATAATAATAATTAATTTAACCACAAGCCTACAGGGCACTTATACCCCCTTCCTGCCCAGGCCAATTTCCAGCTTTCCTATATGAAATTTTTATCATTTTTTTGTAACAGATAGAGCTTTATTTTGGTGGTATTTAATCACCTCTGGGTTTTTTATTTTTTCTTAAACAAACCAAAAACCACTGAAAATTTTGAAAAAAAAAAGTTTTTTCTTAGTTTTTGTTATAAAATTATGTAAATAAGTGATTTTTCTCCTTCACTGATGTGCACTGATAGGCTGCCCTGATGGACACTGATAGGTAGCAGTGATGGGCACTGATAAGGAGGCACTGGTAGGTGGCACTGATGGGCATTGACAAGCATCACTGATGGGCACTGAAAGACAGCACTGATACATGGCACTGATAGGCAGCACCGACTGGCACTGATAGGTGGCACTGACTTGCACTGTTAGGCGGCACTGACTGGCACTGATAGGCGGGCACTGACTGGCACTGATAGGTGGCACTGATTGGCATTGATAGGTGGCACTGACTGGCACTGATGGGTGGCACTGAAAGGCAGCTCAGGTGGGCACTGATATGTGGCATTGATGTGCACTGGTAGGCATTGATATGTGGCATTGATGTGTCACTGATGGGCACTGGCTCAAGGCACTGATGGACACTGACAGGTGGCACTGCTGAGGCTACACTGATCATCAGGGCACACTGATCAGGACTAATGCTTCAAAATATCCATTTGTATATGTTTGTTACACCTTTATACCTCCTGTTAGTCCCCGGTCACATAAATATGACTTCCAGTGAAGTCTCACGAATTCAAAGTTGGATGTCATTCAAGACTTTCAAGACACAGAAGTCTATGCAAGTCACACCTGAAGTAGTGCATGCACTACTTTCAAAATGACGGCTTTAATTGCGGTGATTTTAACCAATTCCCGGTCTATAGCCAGACGGTGGCCAGGCGAGAAGTTTGTCCCTCCGGGTGGACGCCATATGGCGTCCTTTCAGTCATGCACAGCTTGCCTTCCCGTAGAGCCGCGCAGCGAGCGATCTGTCACCGGCCGTGTACCTCAGACACGGCCCATGACAGATCTGTGTACCGGCCCCGTTGCCAGTACCATGTGACCTGCTGTGACCAATCACAGCAGGTCACATGACAGTTGTATACAATGGATGGCTTTCTTTCATATCATCCATTGTATGCAACTGTGTCTAACTGTGAATGGTCACAGCGATCACATGCACAAGCTGGGCCAATCACAGCCCAGCTCTGTCATGTGATTAGCCGTGGCCAAATCACGGCTAAGCAAAAAAAAAAAAACCCTGAATGAATCGATTTCATTCAGGTAAATGCTTGCTTATAGCAAAGTAATTCTTTGCTATAAGCAAATTGTGTAAAAAAAAAAAAAAAAAATACTGATCACTTCTCCAAAGTAGTACAATGTTATTATGGTAACATTGTACTACTTTGGTCATAGTGAAATATGAAAAAAAAATCTTAAAAAAAGAGAAAAAAAATTCATAAAAAATTATACAAATTAAAAAAAATTATCAATTTTTTTTCGTACTGTCACCAGTCAGTGTCCCTGATCACCGCCATGCCAGTTATATGATGACGCTGTACTGCACTGGTGACAGTATGTAAAAAAAAAAATAGTGAAAATCATTTTTTTATTCCTTCATTTCCAAAAAATTGACAAAAAAATACAACTTCAAAAAACTCGCCATGCCTCTTATGAAATACGTTGGACTGTCTACTTTGCAAAAAGGGGTCATTTGGGGGATATCTGGACTATTCTGATATTCTTGGACCTCAAGAAATTAGATTGGCTGTCAGTACTTCACGATTGATCAATTTTCAGATATATCCCATAGTTTGTGAACTCTATAACTTTCCTACAGACTAAATAATAAATACTGATTTGGGTTATTTTCACCAAAGACATGTAGCAGAATACATTTTGGCCTAAATTTATGAAGAACAATTATTTATTTGCAAAATTTTATAACAGAAACAAAGAAAAAACGTGTTTTTTTTCAAAATTGTTTGTCTTTTTCTGTTAATTTAGCAAAAAATAAAAACCCCAGTGGTGATTAAATACCAGCAAAGGAAAGCTCTAGTTTGTGTGAAGAAAATGATAACATTTTAGTTTGGGTACAGTGTTGCATGACCGCGCAATTGTCATTCAAAGTGTGAGAGCGCAGAAACCTGAAAATTGGCCTGGGCAGGAAGGGAGTAAAAGTGCCTGGTAGACAAGGGGTTAAACACGCACCGCTTGGCAAGTCGCACCTGATATTGTTGGGCACTTACAGTGAAATTATAACATTTATCTGTTGCAAGTGTCTTTCACTTGTTTTAGGCTCCATTCACATCTGAGCATGGCAGTTTTGGGCATTTTTTTTTGCATCTCTTGTTGCGCGTTTTTACGTTTCTGTAGCTGTTGACTTTTTTTTTTTCAGGTGGAACTCCGCTTTAATATTTATTTATCTTTTTTTTTTTTTTTTTTTTGCATACATTTTTTTTCTCTATATGCCAGGAGTTAGAGAGATACAATGTATCTCTCTCCTCCATTCATAGAGAAAAGAAAAACACAAGGGGGGCGGGCTATACAGTGACTGATCACTGTGATATCCAATCAGAGGCTATCACAGTGATCATGTGACCAGGAATCAGGAGCCCCGGGTCCCAATCGTTAGAACGGGACCCGGGGCTCTCAGTGACACCCTGGTCTTTGTGCTGGGAGCGTGCTGTGCGGTGCGCTCCCAGCAGAAAGACAGGTATGCAAATATGCAGCCCCACGGAAAAAAGCCCAGTTTTCTGAGGTTGGCGTCAAGGGGTTAAAGGGATGAGGTGGCAACCCTAACCGGCGTGCAGTCCATATTTTGTCCTTCTTTTCCCTATGCTAGACACACTGTCCCTGACCTAGCCACTTCACAAATGTGTGCCAACTGCAGTGGGACTGTAGTGAAGAACAAAAGACAGAGCGCACCAGCCTTGCGCATTACCTCAGTAAAGAGTTAATGGATTTATTGATTTAGGAGATATACTCACAAACATAGTAGTAAAACAAGCATGTAAAGTCCAAAGTTGAACCACACAATAAGGAGACACGTGCGTATCCCATCAGAAGGGGAGATTCTCAGAGTGACACTGACATGATTCAAAGGGAGGTCCCTTCTTCATCAGAGCTACTGATACGGTGGCATCACCCCTAAAGCAGATGTGTCATTACACGAAACGCGTCTAGGAGGAGCCCTTGAATGCCTTGACGTCACGCTGCTGGATCAGGAGGTCCAGCGGCCACCCTATGTTTTCCACTGGTTAGTGTATTCAACACTGACGTGTTTCAAAGGGAGGTCCCTTCTTCATCAGAGCTACTGATACGGTGGCATCACGCCTACAGCAGACGTGTCATTACACGAAACGCGTCTAGGAGGAGCCCTTGCATGCCTTGACGTCACGCCGCCGGATAAGGAGGTCCGCAGCGGCCACCCTATGTTTTCCACTGGTTAGTGTATTCAACACTGACGTGTTTCAAAGGGAGTTCCATTCTTCATCAGAGCTACTGATATGGTGGCATCACCCCTAAAGCAGACGTGTCATTACACGAAACGCTTCTAGGAGGAGTCCTTGAATGCCTTGACGTCACGCTGCTGGATCAGGAGGTCCAGCGGCCACCCTATGTTTTCCACTGGTTAGTGTATTCAACACTGACGTGTTTCAAAGGGAGGTCCCTTCTTCATCAGAGCTACTGATACGGTGGCATCACCCCTACAGCAGACGTGTCATTACAGGAAATGCGTCTAGGAGGAGCCCTTGCACGCCTTGACGTCACGCCGCCGGATAAGGAGGTCCGACGGCCACCCTATGTTTTCCACTGGTTAGTGTATTCAACACTGACGTGTTTCAAAGGGAGGTCCCTTCTTCATCAGAGCTACTGATACGGTGGCATCACCCCTACAGCAGACGTGTCATTACACGAAATGCGTCTAGGAGGAGCCCTTTCACGCCTTGACGTCACGCCGCCGGATAAGGAGGTCCAGCGGCCACCCTATGTTTTCCACTGGTTAGTGTATTCAACACTGACGTGTTTCAAAGGGAGGTCCCTTCTTCATCAGAGCTACTGATACGGTGGCATCACGCCTACAGCAGACGTGTCATTACACGAAACGCGTCTAGGAGGAGCCCTTGCACGCCTTGACGTCACGCCGCCGGATAAGGAGGTCCGACGGCCACTCTATGTTTTCCACTGGTTAGTGTATTCAAGAGCTCATGACTATTACTCACAATCACCCTGTGGGTTTATGCTCATTTTGTTATTCTATTAATTTTTATCTAAATAAATCTTTACATTACTACACTATGAGCACCTTTATCTTTTACTACTTGGCACTGAGCCTTCACACCTCAGCCCAGTATTCCAGGTAACTGCCCAGGCTGGAGGAATTAGAGTATCGGACCAGACCATCATCCCTGGCACCTGTCACAATCACCTGAACAACCACCAGAGGATACTCCCACCACCAGGCTGTATCTCCACAGGACCTCCGGCTACATGAGATTTTTAAACGCGCATTAAGATTGCGCTTCCGGTGAGTGGGCAATCTTTCTACACCTCCATGTCGGGATACTGGAATATACTCGTTTGGATTGAAGTCATATTTATTATCTTGGACTGTTTACCATTCAGTTTACAGGACTCTTTTATGTAGGATTTCTATCTGGCTAACTGTATATATTATATCTATTAGTATAGCGCTGCACTCCCAATTTTATGTTATATTTTAGAAAGGCTTTGTGGTTCCTTTTTAGTGCATTAGCGGCTTCATACAGCAAGCTCACACACTCAGAGCTACTGATACAGTGGGACTGTGCTACTTACTGGCACTGTCCACACTAAAGATGGCTGCCAAGGTTACCCAGGGGAGCACAGGGGTGGACTGACAACTCATGGGGCACCCGAGCAATAGGAAATCATGGGGCCCCTTTGTCCTTGCCCACACTCAAACCACACCCAAAAAAGTCTATGAAAGGTACCAGGGGCATCTCATGGGTCCCCCTACTGACTCCAGGCCCTCGGGCAGTGCCCGGGTGCCCAAATGGTCAGTCCGCCCCTGGGGGGAGCAGCATCCAATCAGACAGCTACTCTTCTTTTTGTTTTTTTTATAATTAACATTTTATTAAAAGATTATAGAAGAAAGTTACATACACCGTATACATAGCTCTCATTTCGCATTTTGGAGGACACAGAATTATAAAGGGCAAAGCAACAAAAAGATTAAATAAGTCAATACATCAATACAAAAAGGGGTACACAAGCATATATCAGCCACATAACTGACTAAGTGACCTCTAATGACCCACCAATTTGAAGTTCTCATATCCCAACATTTGAAGTGTGCTAATATATGAGGGTCACAGCAACTCAAACAGTAGACCCTAAGAGGCCTAAAAACAAAGTATCTGGTGATATAAGGATAAAAGAGAACCAAGATATAAAAGAAACAGGAGGAAAAGAG